TACAAAGCGGTCTCCAAGCCTCCACTTATTCTCACCGATGTAGAGGAGGTCACATCAGGAACAGCAGATGCAGTAAACCACATTGGCAGATGTGCAGGTGGGCATCTGTCTGATGTGGAAGGTTTTTCTGGGGCCTGGAATGGAGGTGAGGGGGGAGGTGTAGGGGCAGGTGTAGCACTTCCTGCGGTTGCAGGGAAAGGTGCCAGAGTGGTAGGGCTAGTGGGGAGCGTGGAGTGGATGAGGAAGTAGCGGAGAGCGCGGTCCCTACAGAAGGCAGATGGGGTGGGGAGGGAAATATATCCTTCGTTGTGGGGTCAGATTGCAGGTGGCGGAAGCTGTGGAGAATGATGCGTTGAACCCGGAGGTTGGTTGGGTGATACGTGAGGACAAGGGGGATTCTGTCTTTGTTGTTATTGCAGGGTGTGAGGGCAGAGGTGCGGGAAATGCAAAGGTTGCAGTTGAGAGCGTTTTCGACCACTGTTGGGGGGTGGGGGGAGTTGCTTTCCTTGAAATACGAGGACATCTGGGATGTTCGGGAGTGGAACGCCTCACCTTGGGTGCGGCGTAGGCGGAGGAATTGGGAGTAGGGGATCGCATTCTTACAGAAAGGTGGGTGAGAGGAAGTGTAGTCTAGGTAGCTGTGGGAGTCGATAGGCTTGAAATAGATATCAGTTTCGCGGTGGTCCCCAGAGATGGAGGCAGAGAGGTCCAGGAAGGAGAGAGAGGTATCAGAGATGGTCCAGGTGATCTTGAGGTTGGGATGAAAGGTGTTAGTAAAGTTGATGAACTGTTCAAGCTCCGCGTGGGAGCACGAGGCGGCGCCGATACAGTCATCAATGCAGCGGAGGAAAAGGTGGGGCATAGTGCCAGTGTAGCTTCAGAGCAATTCTGAAGAAGGGTCCCGACCCAAAACGTCAACTTTCCTGCTTCTCTGATGCTGCCTGGCCTGCCGTGTTCCTGCAGCTCCACACTGCATAATCTCAGACTCCAGCATCGGCAGTTCTTACTATCTCCAAATGTGAGATGAGAACAAGTTCTTTTACACAGTGAATGGTTCAGGTGTGCACTGTATAGAAGTATGGTGGAGACAGTTTTAATTGAAGCATTCAAGAGATCATTGGATTATTACCTAAATAGAAATAATATTCTATTTTATTTCTTATGTTCTTATATGCAGTTATTGGTAAAAGGCAGTAGATTGGCACTAAGTCAAAATGATTAGACAGCTGGTGAAAGCACAGTGGACTGAATGGCCTCTCTGCACCAGAATGACTCTGTGATTATGTGAAGCCAGGAAATCATTTCCTTAACAACTGAATGCTGAATGCTGAAAGATTTGCCAACTGGATTTTGAGGTGAGGAAACGAGGATCTTTCCATATAGAGAAATTGTGATTGGGTCAAATGGCCATCCTCTGCTAATAATTATCTTGTGGTTTAGATAATCACAATTCTCATGTGTTGTGAACTGACTGTGAAATTTGGATCAAGTAAACAGCATGTGCCTGTCCCCTAGAGGACGACATGAGTAAGCACTCTTTGCTTGCAACAACTTTGACAATCATCAGGAAAGGATGAAAGAAGAGGAAGGAGGCTAACATAGTGCCCTTTCCATCACTAGAAAATAGACCAGAGGGGCTCAGTAACCATAGTTCCCAATGACCAAGGAGTTCAGAACCAGAGGTCACAGTTTAAGGAAGTGGGACAGGCCACTTAAGACTGAGATGAGGAGAAATTTCTTCACCCAGAGAGTGTTGAGCCTGTGGAATTCTCATCCATAGGAAGCGTTGAAGTCAAAATATTGAATATTTTCAACGAGTTAGATATGATTTTTAGCATGAAAGGGGTCAATGCAAATGGGGAGGAAATGGGAGCAGGGTTCTGAGTTGATAATCAGCCATGTATGGCAGAGTAGGCTTGCTCTGTCAAATGGCTTACTCTGCTCCTATTTTCTATGCTTCTGTAACAGACCAGGATAGTGACTCAGTGGTTAGCACTACTGCCTCACAGTGCCAGGGACCTGGGTCCAATTCCAGTCTTGGGCAACTGTTTGTGTAGAGTTTGTATGTTTTCCCCATGGCTGTGTAGGTTTCCTCCAAGTGTTCTGTATTCCTCCTACTGTCCAGCAATGTGCAGATTAGGTGGTTAGCCATGGGAAATAGGGAGTTAGCAGGATAGGTAGGGAGTCTGGCTGGGATTCTCTTCAGAGGATGAGTTGAATGGCCTCTTTTTGCACTGTAGGGATTCTATGCAGCAGTCACACAGTACTGCATAGAACTGTCAACCTAGATTATATGCTCAAAACTCTGGGGAGGATTTCAAAGCCCAAGCCTGATGGTGTCATACTTGTCATTTCTTGTACCCCTTGCAAGCTCAGCAATATCCTTCACTATGATGAAAGACTTTGGTTTCTCAATGATGAAAATAAAAATCACTGATGTATTGAAGTGCGTAACTAAGACTAATTTACTAATTGTAATATTGTACTAATATCCCTGTATGTTTTTAAAGTCACATCATATTTGAGTGGACACATTTCCTGCATTAACAGCATGTGAATAGCGCCAGCTAAATCATAGACATTCACCAATCAGCAGGATAAAGGCAGGTCTTGGTCTTTCAACAAATAGGAAATCTGCCTCAGGCTTCCTTTCCCAATTTCTCATGGTCAGGGCAACAGGTTCAACAAGAACATTATTGGGGTTCTGCACTTGAACAGTTGGTATCTGTATGCCCCTGTGCCAGCTCCAAATGATGCCCCAGCAGACAATTCCAGAAACCTGGCATTCTATTTATTTATTTATATTTTGCTGTATTCAAGGCACCTTTGTTTAGTTTGGAACAAAAACAGAAGTTGCTGGAAAAGCTCAGCAGGTCTGGCAGCATCTGTGAAGAAAAATCAGAGTTAATGCTTCAAGGAGGGTCACTGGACCCGAACGTTAACTCTAATTTTTCTTCACAGATGATACCAGATCTGCTGAATTTTTCCAGCAACTTCTGCTTTTGTTCCTGATTTACAGCATCCGCAGATCTTTCGGTTTTTACTTTGTTTTGTTGGGCCTCTTTAGAATGCTGTCATACATTCCAATTGCCCTTTTAGGAAGGTATTATCGAATATTGGGGAAACTGTTCTGCAGTGATAATTTCACTGGACTAGTAATCCCAAGACCCAGGTTCATTATCTAAGGCATAAGTTCAGATCCCACCATGGCATCTGGTAGAATTTAAAATCAATAAATAAAATCTGCAATTGAAACTTTATCTTAGAATGGTGATGATAAACTATCATTGATTGCTGTAAATATCCATCTGATTCACTAATGCCCTTTAGGGAGGTAAATCTGGTGTCCTCACCTGGTCTGATCTACAAGTGACTGCAGGTCCACAGCTGTTTGGTTGAGTCTTAACTAGCCTCGGAAGTTGCCCAGCAAGCCACTTAGTTTAAGGGCAATTAGAGCAGGAAACAAATGTTCACCTTGCCAGCAATGTCCACATCCCATCAAAAAAATGTCATTTATCATTGTTATCCTTATATGGGATTACTACAGTGTTTTGCTTTATTTTTATATTAATTCATGGGTTTTGGCCATCGCTGGCAAGGCCAACATTCACTGCGCATCGCTAATTGACCTGGGGGGAGTGGTAACCTGTCTTCTGGAACCACCACATTTTTGCATTTTTTTAAAATGGTACACACTCCAAAGGACTGAATAGTTAAGATCGTGGCTGGGGACAAAATCAAATAGACTGCTATGTCCTATACAGCATCGAACTTCATGACTGTCCTGAACACATCCAGGCAACTAGATGATATTCCATCACACTCCTGACTGTCCTTTAACTCCAACAGAAGCTCAAACACAAACAAACAATCACTGAAAATTGGTTAATACTTGAAATTAAACCAAATCAATGAGATAATTAAATACACCTTACATACAGTATGCACACAATATTGGTACCCAATTATATTCACATATTTAGAGATAATACAGGATTGAAACTCCCCAGGGCTGCAGTATATCTTAACTTTAATAAATGGGACTAATGTGTGCTTTATACGTCATCACATTCTGTCTGTAAATTGCTGACATGCATGTTTGTTTAATGCTAAGGTTAACTATTGCACTTTTTGTCCCTGCTCTTGATGTTCTGAGTTGCTTGTTACTCTCTGAATATTCCACACTTGAGAACTAATTAATTCTCAGCAGCACTGAAGTCTTATTTCTTCCTGGTACACCTATAAGACAATGAATGCATACTTGTGCCTCCCCTCAATGTTATTGAATGATTTACTGCATACCTATTTGGTTCAAGTTCCACTCCAGAAATTTGAGCATAAGATATAGACCACCAGTCCAATATAGTACCGAGTGGGAGCTGCACTGTCAGAGGTGCCACCTTCCAAATGAAGCATTAAACGAAGAGCTAATCTAAGGTAGACATAGACGATCCCATGGTGTTATTGCACAGATGAACACAGGAATTCGCCCTGGCGTCCTAGCTAATACTTAACCGTCAAGTACATCACAAAAACAGGTCATCTGGTCTTTATCACCTTGCTATTTGTGGGAGTTTGCTGTGTTTAAGTCGCTACATTTCCTACATTAGATTATTGACTACACTTCCAAAGTACTTCATTGGCGGTATACGAGCCATACTCCATCCCTGACCTCATTACAACCAGAACCAATTTTACTATGTAGATATATAGTTTCTATTAATTTTGTTAACACAAACTAATTATGGCTATTCAACCTGAGACTTACACACCTAAGGTTAGGTAACTTGCTGACAGGATATCAAATAAAGACAACTATCTGAGATAATTCCTCCCATTTAATATCTGAAATGCCCACGGCCTACTGAAAAGAGACCTGGGTTTCTAGACAAGTACATGCTGATTTAAAAAAATACATACAAATACATTTCCGCAAAAGACTTGCGTCAGTTTCTTTAAAACAGGCTCAAGGTGTGGCATGATCTCTGCCTGTTCCTATTTTAGAAACAATCAAAATAATAATTACAACATCTCATACACTTCAGGAAAATAAATATAATCATTATTATGAAGTAAGAGCTGAGAATAGTTTGTATTGCAAAGATGGATTCATCATCAGTGAAGCTCCTGTGGACCCTGGGTGGGAGACCAACTCTCAGCCTGATCCCAGCCATCAGCTGACCTTGCCTCCAGCAGTAATAGGTTCCGATGTCATTCAGCTGAACCGCACGGAAAACCAGATGATTGCCTTGATCAATGAAAACTCTCATGCTGTGGTTCACACCCACCATGTATTCTTCCCTGTACAGTGGCTGGCGCCCTTTGTCCCAAGCCACGGCATGCTCTGCCCTGGCTTCTGGACATGCAATGGTCAATGGGTACCCTATGGCATGGATGTGAGTCTGCACTGGGACCATGGGGGGCTTCTTAGTCTTGTCATTTGTAAAACCAAATACATCAAAGATGAATTTCTCTCCTTCTATTGATGGGTACTTGGTCGGGCACTGCACAAAGCAGCTCCGTACCATGATCTCAGCTTTCCTTTTCTTCAGGAGATGTTTGTACCTGGGGGGAACAGCTGATGAGCCACAGGAGACCACATTGGCCACAATCTTCTTGTACCTGAAGTACAGGTAAGGGCTACGGATGTAACACAAGCCAATACGTCGCTGTTCCCCTCTGACCCCACATCGATCGCACACAGTCCAATCCCAGTAGGATGTGAAGATCTTGTATGTCTTGGTCTCCAAATCCTTAATGGGCTTCTGCTTCTTCTCCTGGAAGACTATGTGTGCATTTTTGTAACTTTGTACATCAATGTCATAACCATAGAAATAATCACCCGTCACAGTGCCACACATGTAATGGCCAGAATCTTGAGGCTGTGCATTGAAAACCAACAGGCTGAACATCAAGATTTTGAACCTGGACTGAATTCCCGATCTGGAACGCAACTGGGTAGCATCCAAGATCTTCGTCCCATTGAAATCGCTCAGGACTTTGGTGTGACCCTTGCCCAATCGTTTCTGATAGTACCAAACCACTGAGGTCACATCCTCAGGCTTGCACAGGCACGGCAGTTCAAAGGTCATATCGGCCAGGTAGGCAGCATTCTGGAACATTAAGAAAGCAGGACAGGACTGTATCTTGAATATGTCTTCTTTCTCTTCTATTACATATTCACTAGCATTAACAGGTTTAGCCAACAGAAAGGGCATAAATGAGAGAACAACCTGAGTTAGCAACATTTAAGTGGGGTGGAGAATGCGAGCAACTGGAAGATGGGGTAAAGGCAGGCACTGATTGAAACCTCTCCACAAAATTAAAGGCTCAACAGTGAGTAGCAAAGTTCTAGAATAAAAGTTATTCAGTTCTAGAACACAATCATTGTGAATATAACTTGTAATTCAGTTGAAACATTCCAGAACATTGTAAGCACAGGAGGAATTCTAAAGTTAGTTTGGGATCAAGATGTCATTGCTTACTGACATTAACATTGTACTAACAATGACTGCAACCAAATAGGTGTAAAACACAGATTTGTAACAAACTCACCACGTTAATTCCCACTGATGGGCAATACCTTATTTTCTCATTTGTTTTTTGTGCCTGCTTCTCTCCTAGATGAATCCTGGGTTCCAAGAAGAAACTATCTCCATCATCTTGCAAATGGGCACTTTCTTTCATGAGATTATATGTGCTGGGTAGGCATTACATCAGGAATACATGTGAAGAAGTAGATAGATTATACAGGAGGAATATAACATGGGTTTTGTGTCACAAAAAAGGAACTCATGCGTATCAGTAAAACTGAGGCTGTAGGACCATAAATTGAGGTTTTTTTCAATCATTTGGGAGATGAGGGTGTCACTGGCTGTGTCAGCATTTATTGTCCATCCCTAGCTGCCCTTGAGAAAACTATGGTTAGCTGCCTTCTTGAACCGCTGTAGTCCATGTGCTGTCGGTAGACCCACAATGCCATTAGGGAGGGAATTCCAGGATTTTGATCCAGCGATAGTGAAGGAACGGTGATATATTTCCAAGTCAGGATGGTGAATGGCTTGGAGGGGAATTTGCAGGGCTGGTGTTCCCATGTAGAAACATAGAAGGTAGGAGCAGGAGGAGGCCATACAGCCCTTCGAGCCTGTTCCGCCATTCTTCATGATCATGGCTGATTGTCCAACTCAATAGCCTAATCCTGCTTTCTCCCCATAACCTTTGATCCCATTCCCCCAAGTGCTATATCTAGTCGCCTCTTGAATACATTCAATGTTTTGGCATCGACTACTTCCTGTGTAATGAATTCCACAGGCTCACCACTCTTTGGGTGAAGAAATGTCTTCTCATGTCCATTCTAAATTGTCTACCCCGAATCCTCATATTGCGACCCCTGGTTCTGCCTTTTTTGCTGCCCTATTTACTGCCCTTTTCCTTCTAGGTAGTGGTGAGGAGTTTGAAAGGTGAGTTCCCCTTCACAAAGACTTCCAGATGAAGTTCTTATAGGTGGAAAATGATTGCAGTTCATACACATGTCCAATTATGTTGGGACTGCCATTGACAGGCCTAGGGAAAATTTATATTTTACATCCCACACTATTAGAACAGGCTGGGTGATGTTTTGAAGCCTTTGACAGTTCAGGAACCTTGAGGCAAACCTGCTGAGGAGTTGGAAGCATTTTGACAGGTAAGTGTGAAATGTATGACTTCAAATTCTTTATTGAAATTATTGATTATAGGTTCTGTCCTGAAAACATAAATTGACTTTTACATTGACTGTTATTTGTATAAGTGTCGTGATGAATTGGAATACACTTTTCTATTGGAGAAAGTGTTGTAATGTGTTGAAAACTGTAGAAAATAGTGCTGGTGAACTTTCATGTCACATTCTAACATGATTTAAATGTCCACACTCCTTTAGCTCTGAAAACAATGGTCAGCTGCTTTAAGCTAGAAAATAAAACAGCCACCTGCTCCTGGATTGCTTTGGATGAGGGGCAATGTGTGTTGCTTAGAAGAGTTTTAAAAAAGTGCTCTTTCGGTTACAATCTGTTATATCACAAAGAGAATTGAGTCTAAAATTAAGGAAGTCATCCTATAAACTTTAGTGCCATCACACCTAGAATATTTGGTTTCTTTATTTAAGGAGGCATATACTTGCATTGGAATCTGTTCAGAGAAGGCATACTAGACTGGTTCCTGGAATGAAGGAGTAGTTTTATTAGGAAAAGATTAATAGCTCAGAAGAATGAAATGTGATCTAATTAAAATATGAGCCTCGGGAGGATATTGGTAAGATCGGTACTGAGATTATGTTTCTTCTCGCAGGGAAATCTAGAAATGGGGTGCAGTTTAGACATAAAGATTTCCCTTTTAACAATCAGAATAAGATTTGTTTGCCCTTGGAATTCTGTTCCTCAAAGAACAGTGAGGTCTGCATCATGGGCTATATTCAAGGTTGAGTTAGACAGATTTTTGAATAATAAGGCTGTCAAGGTTTATGGTGTCGGGCAAGATAGTAGAATTAAGGCCACAGTCAAATCAGCAATGGATTTATGGAGCAGATTTGAGTGACCAAATGATCTATTACAATTCCTATTTTATATGTGTTCCAATGAGCTATAAAGGTTTTCTTTTTGACAGCTGGTCCATTCAGAATGCTTGATTAAGTTTCAAAAGCTGATGAGGTGCTTGGCACTGCCGGTAGTTTTGTATTCTGATTAATATTTGTAAGTGATTATGAAAGATTTATCTGCCTTTGATGTAATTTCTAATAGATAACTATCTTTATTTACAGTTTAGGGATCATTTGAGGAGATTTAATTTTTCTCACATGCATTTCAGACTGCCCATTACTCCCAAGGTCTGTCCATTTTGAGAACTCAGTGAGTGAGAATGGAAGCAAGGGCAGGGAATGAGGAGAATAAGGGTCATGGAGGAAACAAACGGGATATGGAGAAGCATGGAGGGGGTACGGACAATATGAGGAGCAACATGGGAAGAATATGAGTGAGATGGGATGGAGGTTTGTTTTCTCTCTATTCATTTTGTGTGATGTGGACATCGCTGGCTGGCCAGCATTTCTTGCCCTTCCCTAGTTGCCCTTGAGAAGGTGGTGGTAAGATGCCTTCTTGAACCACGGCAGTCCTTCTGCTGTGGGGTGACCCACAATGCTATTAGGGAGGGAATTCCAGGATTTTGACCTAGCGACAGTGAAGGAACAGCAATATATTTCCAAGTCAGGATGGTGAGTGACTTGGAGGGGTACTTGGAGGTGGTGGGGTTCCCATGTATCTGCTGCCCTTGTCCTTCTAGATGGAAGTGGTCGTGGGTTTGGAAGGTGCTGTCTAAGGATCTTTGGTGAATTTCTGCAATGCAAGTTGTGGATAGTACACACTGCTGCTACTGAGCATCGGTGGTGGAGGCAGTGAATGCTTGTGTACGTAGTGCAGGCTGCTTTGTCCTGGATGGTGTCAAGCTTCTTGAGTGTTGTTGGGGCTGCATTCATCCAGGCAAGTGGGAAGTATTCCATCACACTCCTGACTTGTGCCTTGTAGATGGTGGGCAGGCTTTGAGGAGTTAGGAGGTGAGTTACTCGCCGCAGTATTCCCAGCTTCTGGCCTGCTCTTGTAGCCAGTGTTAATGTGGTGAGTCCAGTTGAGTTTCTGGTCAATGGTAACCTCCAGGATGTTGATAGTGGGGGATTCAGTGATGGTAACACCATTGAATGTCAAGGGGCGGTGGTTAGATTGTCTCTTATTGGTGATGCTCATAGCCTGGCATTGTGTGGCGCGAATGTCACTTGCCACTTATCAGCCCAAGCCTGGATAATGTCCAGATCTTGTTACATGTGAACATGGACTGCTTCAGTATCTGAGGAATCCTGAATGGTGCTGAACATTGTTCAATCGTGGGCGAACATCCCCACTTCTGACCTTGTGATGGAGGTAAGGTCATTGATGAAGCAGCTGAAGCTGGTTGGGCCAAGGACACTACCCTGAGGAACTCCTGCAGAGATGTCCTGGAGCTGAGATGATTGACCTCCATCAACCACGACCATCTTCCTATGTGTCAGGTAGGACTCCAACGACCGGAGCGTATGACCCCTGATAACCATTGATTCCAGTTTTGCTAGAGCTCCTTGATGCCACAATCGGTCGAATGCAGCCTTGATATCAAGGGCTGTCACTCTCACCTCACCTCTGGAATTCAGCTCTTTTGTCCGTGTTTGAACCAAGGCTGTAATGAGGTCAGGAGCTGAGTGGCCCTCGCAGAACCCAAACTGGGCGTCACTGAGCAGGTTATTGCTGGGCAGGTGCTGCTTGATAGCTCTGTTACTGACACCTTCCATCACTTTATTGATGATCGACAGTAGACTGATGGGGCGGTAATTGGCCGGGTTGGATTTGTCCTGCTTTTTATGTATAGGACATACTTGGGCAATTTTCCACATTGTCGGGTAGATACCAGTGTTGTAACTGTACTGGAACAGCTTGGCTAAGGGAGCGGCAAGTTCTGGAGCACAAGTCTTCAGTACTATTGCCGGAACGTTGTCAGGGCCGGTAGCCTTTGTAGTATCACATGGAGTGAATCGAATTGGCTGAAGACTGGTATCTGTGATGCTGGGGACCACTGGAGGAGGCCGAGATGGATCATCCTCTCGGCACTTCTGACTGAAGATTGCTGCGAATGCTTCAGCCTTATCTTTTGCACTGATGTGTTGGGCTCTTCCATCATTGAAAATGGGGATATTTGCAGAGCCTCCTCCTCCAGTGAGTTGTTCAATAATCCACCACTATTCATGACTGGATGTGGCAGGACTACAGAGCTTGGATTTGATCCGTTGGTTGTGGGATCGCTTAGCTTTGTCTGTCACTTGCTGCTTTTGCTGTTTGGTGGCTTCACCAGGTTGAAACTTCATCTTCAGGTATGCCTGGTGCGGCTCCTGGCATGCCCCCCTGCACTCTTCATTGAACCAGGGTTGATCCCCTGGCTTGATGGTAATGGTTGAGTAGTGTATATGCCAGGCCACGAGGTTACAGATTGTGCTGGAGTGCAATTCTACTGCTGTTGATGGCCCACAGCGCCTCATGGATGCTCAGTCTTGAATTGCTAGATCTGTTCGAAGTCTATTCCATTTAGCACAGTGATAGTGCCACACAACACGATGGAGGTTGTTCTTAATGTGAAGGCAAGCGAGCGTCTCCACAAGGACTGTGCG